CCCAGATACCTTAGGTTCTCAATATGCTATCATGGGCCAATAAACTTATTAATACAGATTCATGAATGTTACAGTCATACGCTTACAGGTATGGATATTGATGATGTATACTACATTGATTAAGTACATGTTTGCATCTCATCTCATATGATCATGACATTTTCATTACATTGCCTTGTTATTATTACTGCCTCACTAAGTCGATGACTTAGCGTGTGAGTGTTTCACAAATAGGATCTGAGAAAATAGACGAGACAGGTGAAGCAGCTTGACAGCATTACTCCTGCAACCACCAGATCAGAAGCAACTTAATCAGTAGGTCATTTTGTTATGCAAATGGCAGTTGGCATGTAATTAAAGGGTTAAGTTGTGTATGCTCTGAACATTTTGATAAACTTATATTACAATATGTATATTATTGTATTTTCTTAATATAAGTTCAAATATTTTGCTATTATTGGTTAAGAGTCGTGTTTTAAAAGTTAATGTAATATCTCTGACTCCTATCCGGGTCGGGTACGGGTTGGGGGTGTTACACGATACCTCGTAGAGAATTTACAAAGATGGTATTCATTTTGGAATGTTAGTATGGTCATTCCAGGAAGTTCTATATCATTCCTAATTGTGTGAGAGGGTGCACCGATTAAATATTCTTCTAAATTGCCATTGGCGGTTAGCGTTTTCTGGTTTAGCGTGGTCAATTTGGCTATTTCGAAATGGAATTTTCTTTAATAATAAGCTTTGTGTCGAAGACCAAATTTTCAACACTGTTATCTTGAGGATTGGTCTACGATGTAAGAGTAAGTGACCTTGATCTCCTATCTCCATTTCTAATATTTTCTCTAACCCTTCACTGTTGTCTTATATTTCAATTTTTTCCTTGAGCTTTTATGCTTCGATTTTCTTATTGGTAACATTTTCATTTTTTATCCTTGTTGATGTTGTTGTCTAGAGTGCGGGGGTGATTCTGTTTTCTACTAGTCTGTTCCGGTGGCTCCTCATATCACACCCCCAATTTTCAAATTAAAATTTATTAAATAAATTGTTTGATTTTAAGGATTAAAGTGTAAGCTTTTGGAATTTTGTGGGCTAGTTTCAAAATTTTGGAAAGTTCAGGGACCTACCCTTGAGTTATCCCATTTTCTGGTTTGTTGAAAAATAAAAAATTGGGATTTTATGGCTGAGGGGACTTGAACCCATTAGGCTAAGTTGTTATTAGTGTTTTATTTAATAAATATAATTTATAATAATTTGGGTTGGGTGATGATCCCATTTTCAAATTCACCCTCCCGATGGTGAACCAAAAACCTCATTTTCTTTGTGAAATATTGAACCACAAATCAAATTACCTCGTCGTCGTTCAGTCACCACTGATGGATAGAAGCGTGCATCATTGTCGTCGTCAGCTTCAATGTCCTCCGGTGACTCAACCCTGACTCGTAGATCATCTCAATCGATCTCCGATCGTTGTAAATCGAGGGAGGAAACCTTGCGCCGCCACCACTCTTTCTCTCAATTCCGGCCGTTCTAGCTATCGGTTGGCTGCATCACCACTACCTCCGTACTCCCCACCTCCGTCCGCTCAAAACCTGACCGGTGGATCAGGTTTTGTTGTCGTTTTCCTCGTTGCTAACATTGGTAAGCGTTTCAACCATTTTCTTTTGTTTCAGATGGTTTTAACTAAAATTGAGCGTTGTTGTTGCTTGGATTTGATGTTCGGTTGATCGTGAAGTACTAGGTCACCGTCCCCGACCCTGTCGTCGTTACCATGCATCGTCACGTGCGAGTGGGGCTCCTCCCCCAACCTTAGAACATTCTAGAACCGGTTCGAGTTGACTTGAACCTATCTGAGTCAACTCGTACTGAACCGAGTCAACCAAAACCGCCCTGAGTCAACTCGAATCGGTTTGACCTGTTGACCTTGACCCAAACTGTTGACTTTAACATGCCTGTTGACTTTGACTTTGACCAATTTGACCGTTTACCGTTGACTTTGATCAAAAAGTCAAAATTTTTGAAAAATCATATTTTATGTTTTTCAACATCCTAAGTCCAAATCCAACGCCCATTTCGCCAAATTCAATCCCAGTAAGCTATTTTTTGGCATTTTATCTCTTGATACAATATAAATTTTCATGTTTAAGTTCCGTTTTTAATGTAATTGGTATTACCATGTATCTGAGATATTATGAGACGTGGAATTAAAGTTTGAGGGCAATCAAATGGAGTTAAATTGGTTAACTTTTATGGCTCAAAAATCGAGGTAATACATTACTACCTTATGTATGCTTTATAGAACATGTTGGCATTGGTTAATGCATAGACGAATATGTTTGGATACATGTGTGTAATTAATATATTTCTAAACTCGATCCAAATGCGATGAAAATTAATTAAACTGAATAAGACTCAAATTACACGTATAAGATACTAGAAGACTGATAAGAAATAATTTCAAGTTCAGTGATTAACCGATAAAACAATCAACCTCAGAATCTTTAAATTCTAATTATTTTCATTAAAAGTTTTAATATCAGAATCATATGGTTAAGAAATTACGAAATTACCCCTATTAGGTAAAAATGGTTCGAATTGACCCTAATAGTGGAAGTATCGTGAGAATTCGTATTTAATCCGATAAACTATTGATTCATCTGTTATATTCATGATCTGTTCGGAAAGTCACTGATAATCAGATCTTAACATCTGAGAAGGTACAAGACTTAGATTATTGATTTATCAGCAAATATCTAAAGGCTAAAACACTGAAAGTATTATTTATGTTTGAATTATTAAGGAAAATTGAATTAAATAGAAATACTAGATTGAACGAAATAACCATGAAGTATAAAATGACTCAAAGTACCTCCAAACCCTAGAATGACATGATTGATAATATGATTGATAACTTATTTAGTAAAGAAATTTATGGCTTATTGTGTATAATTTCCAAAGTTTCTCATAAAAAGAAAATCTTTTGTTCATTTGTAAATTTTCTGACTTGAGCAGTGCTACTCTTGAAGTCTGTAGATTATGGTCGCATGGCTAATGGGCCTATACTCATTTATACCAACCGGATTCAACTTATTCGAAATCAACGTGATAAATGAATGATTCACACCTTTTCCTAGTTTTTTTCGGAGTAGAAATCATTGAAAAATTTGAAAATGTCCTCCTTCAAGAATGGCCAAAATCTTTTAAAGAAACCCATGTTCAATCCATCCGGTCCAGGTGCCTTGTTACTATCTGACGAAGCAATTACCTCCCAAATTTCATCCTCCAAGAAACTCCTTTCCAGAACGAAACATTGCTCCTCATAAAGCCTATTAAAATGCAGGTCCATATGCTCCACCTCCAGTGTTGTCTTCAAGTTGTAAGTTTTCTTGAAATATTCAAGAATACTAGATTTTATCTGTTCCGGGTCCGAAACCAACTTACCATTCACTTCCAAAAACTTCAGGGCATTGACCCTTCCCCTATGTGAAGCGTACTGGCGAAAGTATCTTGAATTTTTATCGCCATCTTGTATCCACTTCGCCCTAGATTTTTGAAACCAAATTTGTTCGTCTTTTTTATAAAAAGACAGTAACTCCTTCTTATCTCTCGCAATGGACTCCATCGAAGCCCAAGTATACCCCTGTTGTATTTCTGCCTCCCGTTCAGAAATGGACTTCTCCAGATTCACAATCATTCTCGGCAACTGCACTCGATTGTTGTTAGACCAGCTTTTAATTGCTTCCTTTAATTCTTTTAAGATGCTTTCAATTCCTCTCCTCTTTCCCCTCTTCAACTCTTTGATTTTCACTTTCAACATGTCTTGAAATCCCACCTCATTCATAAGGTAATTAAAAAGTTTGAAAGGTTTCAGACTCCAATTAACCTGACTTCTTTCCAACACCACTGCATTGTGATCCGAAATTAACTTTGGCAGTAAGACCTGAACAATGCCAGAAAACAACAGAAAAAAATTAGCATTCACAAAAAACCGATCTAGTCTAACAAAAGAATGAACTTCCCTATTATTTCACCACGTGAAGCTCCCTCCAACCAACGGTAACTCCACCAATTTAGCTTGGAAGATGAACTCCCTGAATAGCCTTATAGAATGTGAATTCTGAGTTTTTCCAATTTTCTCATCCCGAGACAAATATGAGTTGAAGTCGCCTCCTACACACAAAGGGCAATCCACTGTACCAATGAAACTAAGCAGTTCCTCAAAAAAGCCTCCTTCTCCTACTCAACGGTAGGACCATACACATTTAAAAAACAACACTCCTTTTTGCTTTCCTTGATCATTCCCTTAATTGCCACGAACCTTGTAGAAATTTGCTGCACCTGCGATATGAACCAGTTTTCATCCTATAAACTTAGGATTCCTCCAGACGCCCTTTCTGACGGAGACACAACAAACCCGCTAAGATTCTTTCCCCCTAAATTTTTCAACGTAGACGGTCTCACCAACTCTACTTTAGTTTCTTGCAAGAATAAGACAGAAAGTTTCCGGTTCATAACCACAATCCTTACCGCCCTTACCTTTTCCTTACTTCCCAACCCCTTGATGTTCCAAGTTACACACGAGAACCCAACCATTATACAAAAAGACTTACACCTTATCCAGAGCTATGAGATTAATTCCCACCCTCCTCGCTCCTGCTTTTAATCATTTCCGAAAACTTCTTGGCAAAAGCGTTCTTCCCTCCCCTAAAGGTTACTCCCATCATTTTAAGCAATGACTATTTTTATGTTGTTTGCTATAATATAGATGTTTACTTACATGATGATGTCTAAATTTTCCTTAACCATTTTATGATGGGATGTTTTTCCAATGATGGGCATTGTGAACTTAATGTCATCGAAACAGGTCAATATTTTGTCTCCCAGTGCTGGGTTTGAGACGGATTAATGGTCTGAAGGGAACATCTATTCTATGTTTGCACCTGTCACAAACTGATAGATGCACAGATGTGCATTATTTTTTCATTTGTTAAATTATACTGACATTTTTGTTTAACTGCAGCAAATTGCTGCATTCAATATTTTGCGAAGACGTCTAAAAACTGTGCCATCAAACTCTTTCAATGGTGATCAACTCAAACGAGCATCATCAGGCAACCCTTACTCCCAAATTTTACATCATAGTGGATCAAAAATTACTGAGGATGTTGATATGGACCAAGATAATGGGAATTTACAGAACGGAATTGACTTTGCTACACTGCAACAGTTTAAGAAAATGCAGCAACACCATATGCTAGCAAAATCACGAGCACAATTACGAAACAGTTCCACTTCAGTATTGAAGGTGTGTGACCTGCTTGTTCAGAGTCTTGTTTTCATTGTCAGGCATCATTTTTTTTTAAATATTTTGTTAGACATAAGTGCATATATTGTCAATTAGGTAAAGACAATGCCTTTCCTGTATGAGAGTTGGCTTCAAACTTTTATCGTCGTTATGTTTCACCTTTGTACGTTCATATATGTTACTCTGATTTGAAGGTGAATGTCAATATGAGTATGTTTCCTTCAAGTGAGTTTTGGATACGTGTATATGCCTGACATGAGTATGCTCTAAACTTTAGAAGTTCTATACACTTGAAGGACCATACTCTCCCCCATGTATCAGACATGGGAAGATACTTAAGACAATGAAGAGTCGGAGTAACATAGTTTAACACAGTTTGCCAAATATTTTTTTGGTTTTCCAGTATATTCTTATCAACGTATCATCTCTCTTCTACATCCAGGAGGGGCCCAAAAGTAGAGCCCCAACAATCTCCAACATTAGAGAGAAACAAGCCTCCTTCAAGATCATCTAGGAGAGGGCCGGGGCAGTTGCAGATTTAACTGCTGTCATTGCTGCCAATCAATAGTTCTAGTTCAATCGTACTCAAGCCACAGGCAATATTAGGTATATAGTTTGTAAAATTTTATATCTATAGTAGTTTGTTTCTATATTGAAACCCGTGGAGGCTGGGATGGTGAAAATTGGCTTTTAAATATAAGCTCGTGGGGGTTCCAAGTATTCAATCTCTTTTTTTTTCTCCCTCCTTTATGAAAATGATACACCCATGTGGTTGAGTCATTTTTTTTATTGAAAACCACATCGGTTTTTTTTGTTTTGTATAAAATAAGGATTAGCTAATGTACAAATAAATTGATTTTGGATATAACTAGGCATGTACAAAGAAAACCGTTTTATTCTATACTCTATAGGGATATTTGCCTTGCATATCTTGTTTTTATGTCTATTGCTTTCAGAAGTTTCAGAATGTGTACATTTTTGTTTTAAAGTCGTAGAGGGGTATTGAATCTTCAAACAGGGTGATAAAAACTAGTTGCATCCGTAGCTTTGCTCATGTGTCATACCGAACGCTCTAAAAAACTATAAATGATCGACAATCTCATATCAGATGGAAAGTGGGGTAGTTTGGGTGTGTTAACAATGACTTCACCTTGAAATGTTTTTATTAGTTTGGGGCGATTATAAGGTAGCATCTGTTCGAAAGACTTTCAACCATTTGACAATGAACGCTCAAACATTCCTATAGGCACCCTGTTTGAATTCGATACATCTAGAAATAACAATAATCTCTTTAACCACTAGGTTGCTTGGTTTGTGCACTTTACCTAAAACTTCTAGGCAAAACTATGGGACGTTATACTATTGGGTGAGTTGGAATGTACATCGAACTTTAAAGCATTAATCTAACCTTGAAAAGGAAATGAAAGTTTTTGGGCATATAAATTAGTGTGATGGACTAATTATCGGTCATAACTTTTTGTAAGATAATTATTGATACCAACGGCAATTCTAATTGTCTAATTTCATGCCAAGTGCCTCAACGAACGAATGGAATAGACAGTTTGGATGAACCGTGACTTCAAGTTTAATCTTTGAGAGTTGGGTAGACACAGAATTAATTTATACGCATACTGCAACATGACCATAAACATATTGAACGTATGTGGAAAACTCTTCTTAGACCGCTAGGAGAAAAAAAAAATAATGCTGAGCCATAGCATAAAAACTTCCCCGCAAAATTAACTCTTCATCTGGTGCTCCCCATGGGAACCGAGTTTGAGGAGCTTCATTGGCCGATTTTGAAGCAGATGCAGTATTAGTATTGATATTAAAGGTTGATTCAGATAAATGAGAATCTCCGGCAGTCAATGTCGATCCAGGAGGCAGGCGGGATCTTTATGTATCACGTACCTGGAATTCCAGGTCTCGTTGGCTCATCTAGATGTTCAGGTTTCCTTGACAGCATATTAACGATCCGGTGCATGTTTGGTCGCAATTTGGGATCATGCAGATAGCTCTGCTTGTTCCGTTTGGTCGCAACTTGGTATCATGCAGATAGCAGGTGGTTCTGTGGCAACCTCCAAGACCATGCCCTTTTTTGTAAAGCTTATACGCCTACAAAATCTACCGAACAAGGTCCGGTTAGGAAACAAATGTCATTCATAGAATACTTCGCTACTTTTAACCATTTTTAATTCATTAATTAAAAGAAAGCAATAATGTCAAAAGTTGAATATTCATGAAAAATTAGCAATGAAATATGTTTAATGTTTGGATGTTACCTTTTTCTTTCAAAAATAAAATAAAAGATCTTATATATATATATATATTAAAAAATAAAAGAACTCATCATGTTATTTAAAAGATAAAATTTAAAAGGCTATTCGATGCAAATGAATGAAAAATGACATTTCTGAGTTGATCCAAGTCTATGCACTTGAGATTCAGTGCAAAAGTGATAGCTCAACATAATTTTGTGGCATTAATGAAGTGGTACCACCAAGTTAATATTATTACATCTTTTAATATTCACTGGCTGAAAAAAAAAATTCGTGCGTTCAACATTGGACTTAAATAACCCATACAAATGCAGAACACTGATGATGAAACCCATTCATCCTTTGCACATGCTTCTCATCTTCGAACAACATCGAAACCGATGGCACCAACCAAAAACACACAGATTGACTATTCATATTTAACACTACAAGAGGCCTGTGCTCCCACCAAATGGATTGTTTGCATGTGGTTCACCATAAGGGACCATTTGGTTCACTGGAAATGCCCCTAAACCTGCATCACCAAAAGGATTTGATGGGCCCATCATCAAATGTTGCTGCTGCTGCTGCTGTTGTGGCAACGGATAGGTAGTTGGTTGGTAAGAACCAAAAGGATTTGTTTTGCTGTTGAGCCATTGCTTCCATTTGAACTGCTGTAGGGGGAGCAACGTTATTTGACACAGCAAATGGATCCTGTACCTCAAACGGATTTGGTGCTGCACTCCCACATACAGGCTGCTGGGAAGCTGTATATACAGCTGAGTCGTATAGACCGTTGAGAGTGAGCGAGTCCAATCCACCAGCCTGGAAATCATCAATAAAAAAATCGGTCAGATAATTAGCATTATTCTACTGACTCGGGTCCCCAGTGTATTCTCATTCAGAGACTTTGAACTGTCTCAGTTGCATGCATGACATCATTAAAATGGCACAAGGAATGAAATCTAAACTGAATGCAAGAAGAATGACACTTGATAAAAAAACTTACTACAAACTAAAACCAGAACTAAGAAGCCGTTGTTCCGAAATACACAAGTCTAGAATTAGCATATATTTATTTCATACAAGTACACTAATTTAATGATCTCAAGTGTTTTCCAATACTAAGTCATATTTCACACAGACGTGTGTTACTCAAAATTAGGTGAGAGAAGGATCTGGAAATGTCTTACACAGGTATGTTTAAAAAAATGTTCTTTTTATTATTATATGTTTCGGGCATGAGAAGTGAAAGCACAGAAAGGGCATACCAATTGCCTTTCAGTTGGTGCAGAAATATCAGTGCTTGGTGTTGTGACGAGGGCAAGTTCCCATCCATTAGGATCGAATTCTTTTGGTTGCCCGGCACTAGAATTAAATGTGAAAGCAGGATCTGCAAAAAAATAATAAAAAGTGCACCTTCTTAGCATTGCAACGCCAAAAAGATTATATTAGCCATCAAATAATGGAAGGGGGGCAAAGGCAAGGGACTAAGAAACATAGTTTACCAGATTCTGTTGGAACAATGGCTAGTGCTAAAGCATTACTTTCCTCAATTGCTGAGGCATTAGGTGCAGAATCATTCAATCCCTGAACCCAACAAAATGCAGTCAACAAAACAAAGAAATAGACAAATAGGATAAGGCTATGAAACTCGAAAAGAAACATACCAGTAAATCGTCAGTGTCCAAGTTGGTCTGAGGTGCTAGAGGGGGAGCAGTCTCGACACTGGAAACAGGAACATCATCAGCAGGTGCAGATGGTTCAGGTTCATCATTGGATGATATTTTATCTTCAGAAGGACCTTCCTCAGGTCTGTATGTTAATTGAAGCTGTAATAATTGACACCATTAGTTCTTTAGCATATATCAGATCAAAATAATTCTAAATTCCAAGGCAATTTGAGAATTCTATATTAAACACAAAGGCGAGAAAAAAGGAAAAAATTACAACTTAAAAGGTCATTCATCTTAAGGATCCTAATATCCAGAACCAAGTTATATAGTAAACTTTTGCCATTACATTTGCAATAGCAATCAATCATGTTTGGTCTTACCATCTCAGCTTATATTTGATTCTAGCTTCCTCTAGTCTTGATAGCACTTTCTATAACATTATTTTCATCTTTGGTTTCGACATTTTCGTAATGAAAAACAATCTCTAGCAACATTCCTCATATTTCCCAGAGTTCATTTTAATTCATGTCCAGTTAATTGTTAGATTTAACAATATAATCTAACACATCATGCAAATAAAGTTTAAAAACAACCCGAAATCCCTATCATATTGATAGACAATACAATTTTTGTCATATATATTTAACAGTTGAACAAATAGCATGCATAACCTGCACGAATTAGACATGAAATACAACCATTAGATTAAAAAATATATAAAACATATAAAAAAAATTGACAGGGCGTGTAAGTTAACTAGTTTTACACTAGTGTGAATAAATCTCTATTATATGTAGCATGCATGTACGCATGCATATTTGTGTGTGTTATCACTTATCAGGAATATAGTTGAAAGAGTACTAACCAACGGTTCCGTTGGGACAGAAACCACACGTGGTGCCTCTCTAATATACTCTTCCATGGTAGCAAGAAAAGATTGTGGAGGCTGGAACAATGATAATGATTAGTTAACATCAAAGGATTGAACAAAAAAAATCACATAAGAGAACTTAAACAAAAATTCACCTCCATAGAATCCATACCTCCCGGAGAACAGGAAACTGGAAGTTCCTAGCAAGTTCCAATCCTTTGCAAACTTCGTAAAAATCAGAAAGACTATTAGCCTGCATCATAGAATTAATTATATCTTTACCAAACCAACCACAACTACTAACCAAATAACAATGTAATTCAATAACCAGAAAAGTAACTACTTGGCTAAATATTTGATACAAATGTAACTATTAAGAAATTATATCTTCACCTGTTGACCAGCTCGCTTGTATACATCAAGTGCTTTGACAGCTTCATGTCTAGGCATCTCAAAAAACTGCAATGAAATCACAAATCAAGCTATTGTGAAAAGGGGGGATAAAATAATTAAAAAAAGTATCAACCTGAAACCAGGAAATTATTTTCTAAACAATAAAAAACACATCACCTTGTCAACAAGATTGATAATTCCATTATTAATAACACAATATATTTTGAAGCTCTCTTTTAATACCTGAAAAGTGCAGCATTGTGAGGTTAATGTAGTTTCAAAAGCAAAGTATTTCCATTGTCAGATACTTCTAATCTTAATAATTCATATGATAAGGTAAAGGAATTCCTAAGAGAAGTACAAAAATAGATTTCCAGTATTTTTTTTAACACAGGAAAATCTCTTACGATCTTTATAGTAAAAACAAAGGTGCAGATGCATAACAGGGTCTAAAAA